TGTGTGTGCCTGTAGTTCTGGCTACTTGGAAGGCTGAGGTGGAAGGATCGCCGGAGCCCAGCAGGTCGAGGCTGCGGTGGCCGGGAGCGGCCACTGCACTCCAGTCTGGGCGATGGAGTGAGACTCCAACTTAAAAAAAAAAGAGCCTTGTTTCCCTAGGTAGCTGCTGTCCCATCTGCCTGCGTCCCACGATGACAAGCATGGAACACAGCTGCCCCACCCAAGCCCAGCTGGACCCGCAGATCTGTGAGAATCACCTGTGATTGCTTTAAGCCCCCAATTGGGAATGGTTTGTTACATGGTTTTCTTGTTTCCTTTTTAGCAGTAGCAATCTGATACACAGATGTAATATGAATTCGCCCTTCCGATTTCTCTAGTGTCTGGTTTGGTTTGCACCCTGAATTCCCTTAAAGAGCACAAAAATTCAGGTTGTTCATTTAACCTAAAAAAGCATGGGAAGCTGTCAGGACCAGGCAAGAGGCCTCACTGCTGAAGTGTGATGCCTGCATTGTTCAAGACACAAGGATACTGGTCAGAACTAGAACTGGTTTGAGCGTGCAATGCAGTCCTATCCATCCCTGGCTACATGTCCTAGGTTAAACTATACAAGCCGGGCTCGGTGGCTCAGCCTGTAATCCTGCACCTTGGGAGGCTGAGGTGAGCGGACAGCCTGAGCCCGCAGGTTTGAGATCAGCCTGGGCAACTTGTTGAGACCTCATCTCTACAATGAATCAAAAAATTAGCCGGGTGTGGTAGCGCACACCTGTAGTTCCATCTCCTTGGAAGGCTGAGGCGGGAGGATGGCCGGAGCCCAGCGGGTCGAGGCTGCCGGGAGCGGCCACTGCACTCCAGTCTGGGCGACCGAGTGAGACTCCAACTCAAAAAAAAAAAAACTATATGAGGGGGAGTCCCTCAAAAATGGAATTTACTTATTTAAACATTGTGTGTTTATTCTTACATGTTTAGACTTCAGTCACCTTCAAAGTACTCTCTGCTTGATGCAGTACACCTATTGGGACACTTTTTCCACTGCACACAAGTTTTGAACTCGTGAATTTGGACACCTTTTAATGCTTCTGCTGAGTTTTGCTTCACCTCTTCCACATCAGCCAGACATTTCCCTTTGAGGACTTTTTCCTTCCAGGGAGACAAAAAATAGTCGCTAGGGGCGAGATTTGTGAATAGGGATGGTGGAACATAGAGGTTATGGTGTTTTTGGTCAAAAACTCCTTAATACTCAGTATGGTGTTCAGTATGGTATGGGCAGATTGTGTAAATCACCCATCACGAAATGGCCAAATGCATTGAAAGACTCTCCAAAAAAATTCACTGAAGCTGAACGCAGCCTCTCATAACAACACTAGCTGGTAAGCCCATGACAATGTGTTCCTAGAACACTTGCCTAGCAGGGGAAGCCTATGTACTACAAGGGGCCCATCCTCCAAAAAAAAACTCCAGTTTTTTGGGGTTCCCCCTCATATATCAGCATAAACTCGGGTCATCATGACAGTCTCTGGCTGTCCACACAGGAACAGGCTGTCTACACCTGTTCCATGTGCCCACTCCAATTTTCTCTGTCTTTGCCTGGACTTTTACAGAGATGTCTGTCTCTGTATTGGTTTATCCCAGGAGATGCTTGGAAAATGCCCAGAGTCTTCAAGTGAAATAGGGACAATATTTGCCTGTCCTCAACTCTATTCCTTCCCACCCATTCCTCCTAGATTACACAAAGGGAACCCCCCAAAAACTGAATTATCTTTTGAAGGGCAGGCCCCTTATAGTACAGGCTTATCTCGCTAGGTGAGTGTTCTAGGAACCCGTTGGCATCAGTGTAGCAGCCAGCGTTGTTGTGAGAGGCTGCATTTGGCTTCAGTGAATTTTTTTTTTTAAAGAGTCTTTGAATGCATTTGCCCATTTCAGGATGGGCGATTTACACAAACATCCTGCCCACGCCATGCTGAGTGTTCAGCAGTTTTTGATCAAAAATGGCCTGACCCATGCCCCACTGTCCCTATTCACCCAATCTCACCCCAAGTGACTTTTATTTTAGTTTCCCTGGATGAAAAAAAAAGTCCTCAAAGGGAAAGGTTTTGCTGTTTTTGAAGAGGTGAAACGAAAAATGGTGGAAGCACTGAAAGGCATCCAAATTGGAGAGTTCAAAAAGTATTTTGAGCTTTGAAATAAGTGTCTCAATAGGTGTGTTGCATCAAATGGAGAGTACTTTGAAGGTGACTGAATTTTAAACACATAAAAAGAAATACAATTTTTTATAAATAAAGTCTGGGTGCTTGGGGTTCCCCCCCTTATGTAGGCCTATTCCCATCCATACTCCCCAGATTATATAGGCCTATACCAAAAAGAATTTCACTCCAAAAGTCCAATTGCTTACCCCTCCCTAGCCTAATGACCAGGAAACATGAGAATTTGTCCACCTCTTGAACCAATGACATCCAGCTTTGTTTTAGGATTCCAGAGATCCTGCCCCCTCCCTTTATTTCCTCTTCTTCTTTGTCCTGTAAAGAGAAGGGAAATGTACCCACCCTCAGGCTAAGTTCCACATTCTCTCCTCCGTAGACGAGCATCCCACCATCCAGAGAGCCGATCTCTCCCAGGAAGAGCCTGTTAGCAGCCAAGATGCCCATGATGGAAGGACTCCTGTAGAGTACACAGCAAGAAAGTGACAATAGTCTCCACAGCAACGGGTCAGCAGGGAGGTGTGCAGTGGGACGCCCAGTGATGGTTTGGCCTTTACCTCGCCCTCTTCTTTACCTGTCTACAGCCATACCATCCCAAATATGCCCAACCTTGTCTGGGCTTCTTACCCTTAGCGCCTTCTCTAAACCCTCAGGCTTGACTACGTGCCCGTAATTTACCTTTGCACGGTGTGCTATCAAAATCCTTCTCAAATTATATTGAAATGACGTCTTTTTCATCTTAGTATCCCTACCTCATCGCCTAATACTGTTTGACATGACCCAATTGTTTTCTAAAACTTTAAATATTCACTTGATTTGTGTCTGAAAGCCCTAAGTAGCCCAAAGTGTCTGTGATTTCTTATCAGAGATCAACTCATTGGTTTTTTCTTTTCTCCCCCTGTCCATTGTCCTTCACTCCATCTCTTCCACTCCTCCCACCCTACTCCAATTACTACCACCAGGATAGACAAAACCCCCACAATTCATTCCTGCCTTCACAACCCGTGTGGCACACAGGTTCCCTGAGCCTACTCAGACTTACTTCACTGGAGCAGTGGCATCACGCAGATCAATCCAGGCTTGTGGCAGTACATCGTAGCGGCACCACAGTTCCCAGTTAAACCCATCAACTGCCAATTCATACTTCTCCAGTTGGAGGGTGTCAAAATGAACGTTGTCAAACACAGGAGACACAACCACGGTGCGGTCTTCCTGAATCCGAGCCAAAATGGGCTCTGCCCTAGAAGAAGAGTGTGCAGAAGCCCAGCTGTGAAGTGAAGGTAAGAGCAGGAGTGAGCAGATAAAGTTTCCCCAAGCGCCTTGCCTTGACGTGAGTACCTTCTCCATTTAGGCTGTGCTTGGTAGTGAGGAGGACTCTCCAGAGTCCCAAGAATCTCTGTAGCTTCTGGGATATTTGGGGCTGTGGGCAGCTGACCCATGTCAAAAGCAGATTTGAAATTAGTACCCCATGACCACCCCCAGGCCACTGAGAAGCAGGACTGTAAGTCTTCTGCCTGAATTTACGTTATCTCTTGGATCTCCTGTTTTGAAAATGGTATCTCTTTCCTGTGTGATTCTCCCCAAACTCTAAAGAACACAGCTTTCTTTGTAGCATGTAATTTCAGGGCTGGGGAATTAATACCTTAGAAATTGCCAAAGTATAATTTCTTCATTTTACAGATAAAGACACAAATGCCTAGTTAAGTGAAATGACTTGGTCAAAGTCTCAAAATATTTAGCAAAGTCAGGGTCAGGATCCAGCTGTCAATATTCCCAGTCCATTGGATATTTTTTCCAGCACTACACTACTTCCTCTTACCCAACCAAAATCCCTGCATAAAAGCATTATGTCTCTTGGAGCTATCCTTTGCTCAAGGTCTTGCACTGACTCTCCCTATCTCCACAATTAGTAACTTCTCTTGTATTCAGCATATGTACAATATTTCCTTTCTGAAATGCAAATTAAAACCACACTGAGATAATACCTTACTCCAGTCAGGATGGCCATCATCAATAACAAAAAACAACAGATGTCGGAGAGGATGTGGCGAAAAGGGAACATTTCTACACTGTTGGTGGGAGTATAAACTAGTACAGCATCTGTGGAAAACAGCGTGGTGATTCCTAAAAGATCTAAAAATCAACTTCCCATATGATCCTGCAATTCCCCTGCTGGGAATATACCCAAAGGAACTCAAATCACTCTATGAAAAAACTACCTGCACATGCATGTTTATTACAGCATTATTTGCAATAGCAAAAACATGGAACCAACCATGCAGCCCATTGAAAGAGGACTGGACAAAAAACTGTGGTATATATGCATGATGGAATACTACACAGCCATAAAGAAGGACAAAAGTATGATCTTCGCAGCAACTTGGATGGACTTAGAGGCTGTAATCCTGAGTGATCTACCACAGAAATAAAGAACCGAGTATCACATGTTATCACTCATAAGCAGACCTTGAACAACTATCTTAATACTATAAGAAAGGAATTAGCAGTCAGGCTCGGTAGCTCAGCCTGTAATTTCGCGCTTTTGGGAGGCTGAGGTGAGTGGATTGCCTGAGCCCGTGGGTTCGAGACCCACCTGGGCAGCGAGACCTCATCTCTACAATAAATCAAAAAATCAGCCGGGCGTGGTAGCGTATGCCTGTAATTCTGGCTACTTGGAAGGCTGAGGCGGAAGGATTGCCGGAGCCCAGCAGGTCGAGGCTGCGGTAACCGAGAGCGGCCACTGCACTCCAGTCTGGGCGACCGAGTGAGACTCCAACTCAAAATAAATAAATAAATAAATAAAAGAAAGGAATTAGCAGTAGTAGGAAACTACCAGGGGTGGGTGGGGGTGGGATTGGCAGTACTGGGAAACTACCAGGGGTGGGGGCACACCTCATTAACAAGGGTACCTACATAAAGAATATTTGGCCGGGCTCGGTGGCTGAGCCTGTAATCCCGTGCTTTGGGAGGCTGAGGTGAGTGGATTGCCTGAGGTCGCGGGTTCGAGACCCGCCTGGGCAACTTGGCGAGACCTCGTCTCTACAATAAATCAAAAAATCAGCCGGGCCTGGTAGCGCGTGCCTGTAGTTCCAGCTACTCGGAAGGATCTGAGGCAGAAGGATCGCCGGAGCCCAGCGGGTCGAGGCTGCAGTGGCCGGGAGGGGCCCCTGCACTCCAGTCTGGGCAACAGAGTGAGATTCCAACTCAAAAAAAAAAAGGATATTTGTATACCTAACCCTGAATTGGACCTCACATATTTAAAATTTAAAATTAAAAACAAAAGAAAACTTCCTTTCTACCCTTCCCTAGAAGAAGCAGCCTTGAGAAGGCTTACCACCCAACGTTGACCTCGATGTGAGCATCCAAGATGGCAACCACATCCGCCGAGGCAGCTTCCCAGCCAGTGTTGCGTGCTTCAGCCAGACCTTTCCTCTCAGTATGCCGTATTATCTTCAGTAGTCCTGGATATTCCTGGTTGTAAAGCTTAATCTTCTCATCCAAAAAACCCTTTAGTTCTCCTGCGAACCAAGCGCACACCTATAGAAATTCTGAGTGCAGTAATTAATGTGGTGCCTAAATGTTATACTATGATATAATAGCAGTTGAATTTCCTCTAGCATAGATAAACAGTTTTACAGACTCTGCTGAGAAAATGGGTAGCATTTCCCCTGCACCTACCTGGCTTCCCTCTTCCACCTGAGGTTTAACTACTACCATTCCTATTTTTTTTTTGCCCTCCCAGTTACACGATGTTAGAATGATAATACTGATTATTATATGTCAGGCACTGTTATAAGTGCTTTTTAAGAAATTCTCAAGAGAATGAGTAGAAAAACCCAGTCTAACTAAGGTTCAGGTGCTGATGGACAATATTGCAAGAACAGCCTGGAACATCTTCTCTATACCTAAAACTCTCAAGACTTTCTGGAGAATCTGTAAACAACTGAAACCGTTTTGTTCTAGACATTACTAGCTGGCATACTCGAGGACACACTGCAACAGAGGTTACAAACTAATCTCTTTGCCAACTTCTGGCTAATGACACTACCTAATTCTGTGTCGCTTCCTATCTGGGATATCTGTTTCCCCAGTGTAACAGAAGTACCAGATATCGTTCATTCCCAGAAGGGGCCTGTCAGGTAGGTGCCATTATCTCTCCATGTTACAGATTTAGAAACTAAGGTATGAAGTAGTTGAGTAACTTCTCCCAAAATCACGTGGATATTGGGTTTCTCCTATGGCAGGCATGGTAGAGACAATTATTTTTCTCAGTTTGACACAAAGAGGATATTAGAGCTATACTCAAGTGTAGGTGCAATTTAATCATTAATCATGCTTCTATGTTTAATGAGAGAGAAGCTAATTCCTGTTCCTGTGACATCAAAGAATGGGTAACAGTTCCCTCTTCTGTGCCCACCCAAACAAATCTTCTCTATGGAAAAAAATGGGCTCCAGACCCAAGTGATAGGAATGTGTTATGATCGGGTAAAGTTTAGAACTGCAGGAAGTTTTACCTGATTTCTCGGTTTGTGTCTACCCTACATTTGTCATCTTGTATCTTTTGATTTTATTTTTCCATAGGAAAAAGTCTTGAATCAAGACTTATCTACTCCTCATGGAACATGGAGTTACAGACTCATTTTCTTTTTCTTTCCACAGAAAAAGATATATTTAGTGGTCTTCTAGTACAACCCTTACTTTTGTACCATGAAGAAGCTGAGTCTCAGAGAGGTGACAGGACTTGCCAGAGGTTGTCTCAGAGAGTCAGGGAACAGAGCCAGGGTGTCTTCTGTTGTCTAGGGCAGAGATTTTTCTAATCAACCTTCTATTTTGTGCCTATAAAACCAGGTATGCAACTTGGAGTCAGTTTCCATGCCCAGAAACTAGCAAAAACTGCCATCTTCTTTTCTTTGGTTTTTGGCAGAATTTTTCTCTAGGAATTGCGCTTTCTTATATTTTATGTTGGAAGGGTAAGATTGGAAGGTATGGAGAGGATAAAGAGAAGTATTTTTAGTGTCTGAAAATTCAAAAAGGTAGGTTAAAATTGTCATTTTATTCTGTCTTTCCTCAGAGAGAGCTTGAAGCTATTGTAAACTATCTGCTCCTTAAATATCCCCAGAGTAGAAACCAATTCTTCCTCCCATGGGCCACTACTTCATAGCCCATAGAAAATTCTTTCTTTCCTTTTTTTTTTTTTTTTTTGAGTTGGAGTCTCACTCTGTCACCCAGACTGGAGTGCAGTGGCTGCTCCCGGCCACTGCAGCCTCGACCTGCTGGGCTCCAGCAATCCTTCCGCCTCAGCCTTCCAAGTAGCTGGAACTACAGGCACACACTACCACGCCCGGCTAATTTTTGATTTGTTGTAGAGATGAGATCTTGTCAAGTTGCCCAGGCAGGTCTCGAACCCACGGGCTCAGGCAATCCACTCACCTCGCCCTCCCAAAGTGCTAGGATTACGGGCTGAGCCACTGAGCCTGGCAGAAAATTCTTTCTTACTGCTAGCCCAAACATCTAAGGTTTTGTAACTTAATTCCAGTTTCATTTGGTACACAAAATTAATAAAACTAAGAGTTATCCCATACTGAGAGGCTACCATATGCTTAATGCTATACATAATTTATGTATCATACCAGTGAGCATAGTGGTTAGAGCTAAGTGAGTGGCTAGTCTCTGAAGTTTATGGTCAAATCTCTCTGAAGTGTATGGTGAAATCTCATTTCTGTCATTTACTAGCAGTGTGATATCGAGCGAACTCCTTGACCTGTCTAAGCCTTAGTTCTTTTGCACCCATGTAATGGGCAAAAAAGTGCCCATTACATGGGCACAACCTCATAAGGTTGTTGAGTAATGATTAAAATAGCTAATGCATGTAATGTGCTTAGAACAAACTGCGTTAACTGCCATTATTATCTCATTTAATCCTCACTATAGTTCATGAAACACTTGTTATCAACATCCATGTTTGGCATATAAGAAAATCAGAGCATGGAGACATTAAGTTACCCAATGACATAGCACGTATAAGGGAGGAGGTGGCATTGTGAATTTGGAAGTAAGGATTCAGGTCTGCTACCTCCTACTTCTCCATATGTCCTCCCTGGGTGGGCTAGACATCCTGTGAGCAGGAGATGTGACCAATGTGAAAAGTCTCAGCACCCAAATCTCTCTTTCCGCCAGGCTGAACTACCCAGGAAGAGGGCTCTTTTCGTAATAAGAAACGACTCTAAATCTCTTCCTGGTGTCTGAAATCTTCTTTGGGCCTCCACTTCACTGCTTACGATAGACTCCTTCATAATGCAGAGGAAAGGCATAAGTGGTTTTGAAGGCACATGGTACTGGTCTAGCTCCCAACTCTACTGCTGGCTGACCATGAAATTTAGGCATGCTCTATGGTCTTTCTGCGTTTTAATCTCCTCATCTGTGTGACGGAGACAATAATCCTCTGTCTTGGCTTTGTGAAGACTAAATGTGACTAGCACAAAAAAGACCCTCGACAAATGATTTTATTTTCTCTACATGAGAAGCCCAAGGTGTCCTAAATGCTGACTGAAACCTCTTTCCAGCCAAGCACAGACAACAAAGCAGTAACTTTTACGATGATTCTTTGATCAAGTTGCTCACCATTGGAGCTGAAATCATCCACCAAGATGATTTCCTTCAACAACCAAGAAGGAGTCCGGTTGATGATACTGGTGATGGCCCGTTGTATTATGGACAGAGCTTCGTTTGTGAATATGAGAATGGCACTGAGGGATGGAAGTTGCGAAGAATATGTCTTCTGAAGACACCTATAAGAGACCATTTTTATAAGCATACTTTTAACGGCTTACACCTTGCTATCCAATCTTCTACTTCACTACATATGATGTTATGTGAAACTCTCAGTAGTTTATCACAGTAACAAGGAGAGTTTATATTTGCTTATCCAAAATTCTTCTGCTACGGAGATAAAACTATTTCTTTTTTATTCATCTTCCCTGGATGTTTCCACTTGAACCCTCAACATAGCTCCCCCTAAATTCCCATTCTTCTTCCATCCCCAAATCAGCTTCCTTGCCAGCAGCCTTCTTTCTGTCATTGTCACTGCCCTCTCCCCATGTCCTTAGACCTTCAGTCACCTTTGACAACCTTCTACTTTACCATTAAAGACAGGTGGCAAACTGTCCAGAGAATTGTGCTTGACACGTTAAAAAAAAATCTTAGCCTACCTTTATTAAATGTTTGCCATATGCTAGGCAGTGGTTGACCCTTTCTTTTATAGCTTTATTGAGGTATAATTGATGACATATTTTAAAAACTGCACATAATTAACATATACAGCTTGATGAATCTGGGTTTACACAACCATGATGCCATTACCATAATCAAAGTAATAAATATGTTCCTCAATTCCAAAAGTTTCCTTGTATATCTTTGTGCATGTGAGTAATAAGAATATTTAACAAGAGATCTACCCTCTTAGCAAATATTTAAGTATACAACACTGTATTGTTAGCTATTGGCACTATGTTGTACAGCAGATATTTATAACTTATTCATCTTGTAGTTGTAAGATGAATAAGTTATAAATATCTGCTGTACAATATAGTGTATATTCATAGAGTATATTCAGATTTATATTCATTAAACAATTCCCCATGTTTCAGACATCTTTGTTGAGATGAAATTCACATACAATAAAATTTGTTCGTTTAAAAGTGTACAATCCAATGTTTTCATAGAGGTGGGTAACCATTATCACTATCTAGTTTTAGAACAATTTCATTACATCAAAAGAATTTACCAGTTACCAATATTCATTTACCAGTCACTCTCCATTTCTCCCCCACCCATTCCACCCCTGCCTTCCTCAGACATGGGCAACCACTAGTCTTCTTTCTGTTTTTGTAGAATTACCTATGCTGGACTTTTCATATAAATAGGAACATATGTCATATGGCCTTTTGTGACTGGCTTCTTTTACTTAGCATAGTATTTTCAAGATTCATCAATGTTATAGCATGTGCCAATATTTCATTGCTTTTTATTACCAAATATAGTCTACTGTATGGATATATCATGTATCACTTATCTATTACTCAATTGTTGGACATTCAGAATGTTCCTCCTTTTCAAATGTTATGAGTAATGTTGCCATAAACATTCCTAAACACATTTTTGTATTAGAATTTTTTAAATTTTTCCTATATACACACCTAAGAGTTCAATTGTTAGGTCACATGATAACCATGCTTAACAATTTGATGAACTGCTATATAGTTTTACAAAATGGTTGCACCATTTTACATTACCACCAGTAGTGAATGAAGATTCCAGTTTCTTCACCTCTTTGACAACAGTTGTTATTATTTGTCATTTTGATGGCAGCTATCCTAGTGAGTGTGAAATGGTATCACAGGGTGATTTTGACTTCCATTCCCCTAATAATTAATAATGTTGAACATATTTTCATGTGCTTGTTCACTGTATATCTTCTTTGGAGAAATGCCTAAATTTCTGCCCATGTTTAACTTGGTTGTTTTTTATTACTGAGTTTTGCAAAAGTTCTTCATGTCTTCTAGATACCTTATCAGATATATGGTTTGCAAACATTTTCTCCCGCTCTGTGAGTAGTCTTTTTGCTTTCTTTTTTTTTTTTTGCAGGATTTATTGAGAGGACAGAAAAACTCCCACAGTGGGAGGGGACCCGAAGGGGTTGCCCTTTTTGCTTTCTTGAAGGTATTATTTGCAGCAAGAGAAAAATAGTTTTGATAAAGTCCAACTTATCAATATTTTCTTTTATCACTTATGCTTTTGGTGTTATGTCTAAGAAAGCCTAGAAATCCACTATCTCCAAGATTTATTCATGCTTTTTTGAGAGTTTTGTAGTTTTACCTCTTATCTTTATATCTATGATAATTTTGTGTTATATTTATGTATGGTGTAAGGAACTCAAATTCATTCTTTTGCAACTAGCTATCCGCCTGTCCCAGCAACACTTGTTGAAGAGATGATTCAGAATATATATTTAGACAATGCAGACATAGCAGAATGTTCTGGCACATTTCAACATAGTTTCTTTTCCTTTCTCCCTGCTGGAGGCAAGAAAGGATTTTTCTCTGATATTTGCTGTAAGAATCTGGTTAAGGTTCTGGAGGTAAAAGTTACACAAGTGTGAGGCCTTCCCTATGACTGAGTCTTCCTGGAGTTTTTAATTTTCAGAGTTGTCCATACTGTGCTTCCACAATTCATCACTTTACAGTTCATATTTCCCTATGCTAGCACTGGTTCCGTGGGGGTTTCTGCTCTAAGTTGTGATTCTCTGTATCCACCTGCCTGTCTCTCCACTTTGGGGGGCAGCAATTTGCTCTGCACCTCACTTCTCCAGCAGATCTACGAAGAGTTGTTAATTTTTCAGTTTGCTTTTTGTTAGGACAGAATGGCATCTTCTAAGCTCCTTGCATACCAGAGCAGAAAATGGAAGTCAGACTCTTCACTTTTATGACTGCACTTTTCAGTGTGGCTCCTTTATATAATCTATATTTCTTTATTGATAGCTTTTATTTAATGAGATATTATCTTTATAACCTTCCTTTTATCCTTTAGATGTGGCATCCTTGAGTTCTCTGAATATATTTATAATGGTAGTTTCGAAGTTATTAGCTACTAAGTCCAACATCTGGACCCCTTCTAAAGCAGTTTCTGTTGTCTAATTTTTTTCTTGTGCATGAGTCACACTTTCCTGTGTTTTCGGATGTCTCATAATTTCTTGTTAAAAATTTTTCATTTTAGACAATGTAATATGGCAACTCTGTACGTCAACCCAGAGTTAACGTCATTGTCATTTACTTGATTGTTTTATTTATATGATGGTGACTTTGAAACTAATTTGCAAAGTCTATTTCTTCTGCAGTATTCAGCCTTTTATTTCTGTGATCTTGATCTTGTTTGTTTCTTTTTTCTTTTAGCCTGGCTATCCAGAATTGCCCCTGGGTCATCATAAGCTACTTATTCATCAGAGATTATATTTAAGACACCTTGACCAAGCAGATTTGTGGATATATGTGGTATGGAGGCTGCTATCACAATTCAGGGAGTTTGCCTTTTGACCCATGTGTTGGTTGCTTGGATTTTTTTTTCCCTCTAATTACTCCTGAGTTGTATCTAAATACTCCTTGGGTATACATACGGTTTTCCAGAGTACCAGAGATGCGGGTGATTTCATTGTTAAGCCTGACTTCTTAGAAGTTTTCTTTGGGTCAGAGTAGCTTATTGTTCCAGCAGTGTTTAATCAAAGGTTGGGCTTCGGACCCTAGTGCCAGTGCAGCTTCAGCTGTTTGTTGGTGGGTCTGTATGCAAGCTGGAGAATTAATTTGTCTTCCCCTCATCCTACTCTGATTGTTCCTGAGTAGGTTCAGCCTCGGGCTTGCATACAACCTTCTAGAGCATCCGCTGTCCTCCCGGTTCTTTCTGCTAAACTTCTGGTTGTGCTGCCATCTTGCATACTGCTAGTAGCATCATGGAACCATGAGCACATTCTTAATTGTTCCCCCTCAAGATCTCTACTGTTTCAGGCAACACCATTAAGCATGGAATCCTTTAGACTCTGTTCCAAATAAGACCAGTTCCCAGAGCTGGGGAAATCTTCATCCTCCACGAGGAGACTTCTGGACAGAACTTCTGTATCACTACCCAGAAGCTGGAGGTGGAGGAAGTACCCCACGTCTCTTGGAGTGACTCCCTGCTCTACAGGCAGATACAGGCTCAGAGGAAGGAGGTAGAAGCTTCTGGTCTTAGCTTGTCCATTGTGGTATAGAACTTCCACTCTGACAGCAAGTTGATACAGCTGGAGTCTAGTATTGCCGGCCAGATACACCTAGAGTTGCAATTCTACCCTGTGAGGAGGGGTTAGATGGTGGAAGGGGGTCACATCTGTCTCTCTCAGTCATCTCTGCTAGGAATAGTTTTTTGCATCACAAGGCTGGGGAAAGTGTCACATGTGGGTGGCCTGCCCTACCCCAATGATACCAGAGCTCTGTACAGGGAGCTATAAGAACAGGGAGACCTCTTCTTGACTACACTCACCCAGAGTAGAAACCCTGGGTGAGTGTAGAAACCCTGGAATACAGTTTCCATAAGACAGAGCTCCATTTATCATATGCCCTTAGGACAATTTCTGAAAATCTTGAACGATTTTCTTTTATAATTTTCACCAAATTGTTGTTTTGTTAGAGAAAGAAAATGTAGCACTCAACACTCTTCCAATCTGGAAGGAAGCCTCAATCCACACACACACACACAAATTAAAGATAACTGCCAGCATACAAATCCAGATTTCTATTCTCTCTGACAAAGTAAACATTTGTCTCACAGCAACCACTCTCCCAGCTGATAGTCCCTGCTCCGACCAGAGCCAGGGTTGTGACAATTACTCACAGCATAACTCCCTGTTCCCCATAGCCTCACCCAAGCCTCTTCCTCACTTCACGGGTGTAGACAGGCATTTGAGTTGCAGCCCCTGAGACTGCGGAGGGATTATAGCACATACTGTGTGGAAGAAGCATAGTAGTAACAGCAAGAGATGAGGTTGGACAGATCCACAGAGACCAGACTGTGAAAGCTAACAAGATTGGATTTTATCCTAGAGGTACTGAAGGAGTTTAAGCAAAGGAATGGCATGATCAAATTAATATTTTTACAAAATCATCCTGGCAACAGATGGAAGGCAATTAGCCACACGTGGCCACCATAATGCAGGTAAGACGGTATGAAGAACTCACCTAAGGGCTGCCCTGGAGAATGAAAGGTG